GGATCCCGAATGGGATTCATTGTAAAATGTAATGTTATTTCATTTTTACACACCGCATCTCCGAATATTTCAGAAATTAACTTGCAAAGAACAATGGGGGTGATTTCAATTTTCACTCCTCTCTATCCAAGTTGTATATGCTTTTCCCCCATATCGTATACAAAACTTATCTAGATAATCAGCACCCTCTCTGACAGAGCCCGCGCGACTCATGCACCATTGGCTATAGCGAATGAGAAGTTTCACGCGTCTAGGAATATTATCCAAACACGGGTAACGGAGCGGTCAACGGAGGGTAGGACGGACACGACAGTTCGATGATGGGTGTGCGTAGTCACGCATACTAAACCGAAGTGCAAGTAGTTACTTGGGCAAAGGGGTTGATAAAAGGGCTGTCGGGCTAAGGACTAATATCAGAAGTACTTGCTTATCAGGTAAACCCTCCGTCCTGTATCTTTTATATTCATTTCCTCGGTTTTGTTTAAGCTTTTGTTTCGCATCTCAACTATGATTGAAACACAATGTGGTTTTCTGGGGCGAATTGAACCCCGCGTTTATAGTTATGCAATCGATTTATCTGCTCGCACGGCCGCGTGCTGAGATCGAGAGATTTTCAAGATTGAGTTGGCATCTCTGCGCGCAAAGTGGTTCAAAGCTATGCTCAGCGAAACGTCAATCTATAGTCCATGTATATATACACGTTGCATATATACATGCTAACCTGTCTTTTCGAGCTACTCGCCACTCTTAACTTCACTCTCCTTTACCCATCTCCATTTGGAGTGCCAGGTGATCTGTCTCACGGATTTCCCCATCGGCCATTCGACGTTACGCAGAGAACCTTATTGGATTTTGCCTCTTTTATATCCCTATTCCAGCTGGTTACCCCCAACGTAACTAGCCCCAAAGGAAATCTCTAGCATTGGCTTCTTCATGTCTCACAGACGCGGGAAGTCTGTCAATCTATATGCAAATATGCAGGTACTGTACCATGGAATGGGAAATGCATGATCGTCACACAGGCGACGAGGAGAAGCGGCAGATGGGCTGAAAGAGAAGCATGAGAGAATATGGTAGCGAGAGATGCTTGTCGGCAGCTCTTAATCGCTGAACGAGAGTAGCAAACGACAAATGTGATGAATTGGTGTTGACCATTCATAGAAACGAATCTGGACGCAAGTAGCCCTCGACCTCCTCACATTGTTCTGGCGATTGATTGCGTGGAATAGGAAGCTGGAGGAACAGTGCTATTATCTCAACAAATCAGGAAAATATTTCAATTCTCAGGTTCCTGCCCGTCCTTTTACAAATCAGTGATAAAGAAACTGCACAATTAGCCACTAAACAGTCAACAATGAAGTTCCCGCAGGCATCATTTCTCGTCCTCCTCGTCAGCGGCGCTGGTGTCTCCGCATCGCCCGCGCCTGATACGCAAAGCTTCAAGCAACGAACCAGCCACCAACAAATGTGTCCAGTTGGATGCATTCTGTCATGGCGGGAGTAAAAACCCGATTCACAGCTGCTACGGGGAAATGCGCTGTGAAGGCAATGGCTCAAAGAGAGGTGTAAGCACTCGGAAATGCACATGTATCTTGATTTACGAGAGGCTTTAGCGAAACGAATTCGTATTTCTTTTCGAAATAACGAGTCCGAGGAAATTAGAAAATAATAATGATGGAGACGGCTGACGAGCAGAGCTTTATGCACTGGCTTCGGGCCAAACCATAGACATGCAATGCCCCAAAAAAGAAGCTCGAGTCTACCCTAGAGCCCAGGGAGTGCAGGGCAGAGGACAAGCTTTACGAGGGACCGGGGGACAGGCGCAGCTGTCCAGGTCTGTCCTGTCAAAGATTTTTCAGAAGAAAATACGCAAGTTCCGTTATTTATTGATGATATTTTCCGCCCGCTGTCTTCCCCCAATCTTTCGGCATGATTCTTGACTTATTTTTTGTTCAAACAATTCGTAGAGTATGGGATCAAATGTATGGCGCCAATTCCACCAAGCGATAACCTGAGCCTGAGTAGGATCCCGAGGCCGAGATACTGACACTAGAGACTGGCATTTTCCTAACGAGAAACACTTGATCGTGAGGCGATGCCGAAAGATCCACCGGAGGGTGAGGCCCAGACTATCGGTAAAGACAAACCAACCGATAAGTGGTCTTGCCAAGGGAAGAAATTGGGGGATAGCCAAGAACCGTTGCTGCAAAGGGTTGAAATGTGAACGGCAGGCAAACGGCGAAAGTTGATATATATTTGATCCCTCCTTCCCCCATTTTGCTCGCGCTTGTCATCCATAAGTTTGAAAGGAGAAATGGCCAAAGCGTTAAGTGAGCTAACGGGTATATCCGCACTCCTCATTCAATCTGCGGTTTACCTGGATGGAATGTATCAACGCATGAATGGCCTGTCCTACCTAACTCATCTGCCTTGCTGAAAGAACTCTCGTCCCGCGAAGAGAGACAGCTGAGTGGTTTTAGGCAACTGGAAAGCGGAGAGGGGTAGTGGACTGTTCGTTGAAGCCAAAGATTCTTTCTGTTTTGTTAGTTTTGGGATAGGCATTATCGAAAGCGCAAATGAGCATTGGAGAAGGGAGTGCTTTTGGCTGGTTGAGTTTATTGAAGGTTTTCCTTGTGGTCATTCTCTAGATCTAGAAATAAGAATATTATCGCGAGCTCTCTCGAACTCTTGAAAAGAAATCCATTTTGTGAGGTGGTCAACATACATGAAATAATAAACCAACCCTGCGATGATTGATACTTCGCATTCAGCGTACATCCGCATTTTGCTATTGTGCGTATGCAACCAGACAAACATGGGGGGTATATAGGCGGCATCTGCCTAATAGTCATCTCAAGGTAGGCGTTTATTCATTGTATGAAGAAGAGGGGATGGGATGACGTTTATATATGCCTCCATTCCGTGGCGCAACATTGCAGTAATCGCGCAAGATATGTCCAATAACAATAGCTAGGGCTCAAGCTGTTGGTTTCGTATCCACTCGATTGAGAGAATGACAACATCGTGGGGTATATGACTCCGCGGCTCCGCATTTCAACTAGACGCCTTCTGATCCCCCCCTCCTTCTCTCTTGAAAATAAGACGTCCGGATTAAGCGACAATGAAGGGTTGGTATTATCCCTTAGGTACCGAATCTGAACGATGAAGATGCACCTAGAGAAGGACATACATTATCTTTTTTTTTAGTTGAAAGTTTTCCCGGTATATGATATTTAGTAAAGAATAGTTGAAAAAAGCAATTCAACCTCAATTAGAATCCACGGGTGCCGTTTTGGAAACCAAATGAGATTGCTATCGATCAGCTCCATCCTAGTTATGACTCTCCAAGGTAGTCACACTTCCATTCGCGACGCCATCTCCTTGCGCCTTGCAAAGTAAATATATCTCGACCATGACAGGGGCTATAGCAATAGGGAAGGTTCATTAATGACGTCATTCATTTCACCGCCCAACCATCGCATAAAAATGCACAATTGGAAGCAAAAGAAAGACTGTATCCATCATCATTTGAAGCGTTTTGTGGGTGGGTGAAGGGTGGTCGAAACTGTTTCTCCTGAAAGATTAGAGATTTAGAACTCCCAAGATTAAAAGGGTCAGCAACTGGTAATATGAAACAGAAATGGCAGTTCATCCCTTTTGGAAGAACGATTGCCTTTTGGAAAGCGGTATGGCGCTTGATCTGGGGTTTGATGCCCCGCAACATGTATGTCAATGGCTTAGACTCTAGGTGGGCCCATGGCAACGACTGCACTGTTGGTCTCAGACGACTTTCAAACTCTAGGAATCCCTCAAGGGTTCAACAAAGGGTCATTTGATGTTGCTCCGTACTTGCGTACGGAACCTCGGTAGTCTTGGTCTGTGATGTGCCAGTTGGTGATTGGACCAGCCACCAAGTTTTCCAAGGTTCCCACCCTCGGTCCTTAGATTGGGATTGAAATGGACCAATGGATGGCTGCTGCTATTGCGGGGCCTTGATCCAAGCTTTTCTCTCTGCTTGTGAACATGTTGGTGTGTGAGCAACTTTGGCTTATCGAACTGAGGGCAATTAGGAGGAGGAGATCTCTGGTGTGGGATTTGCTTGTCCCCTGGTCCCTGGTATACAGCGTGTGAAGTCCGTATGTGCTGCAGGCCATTGCTGACAAGTTATCTGGATTGGGCGGTGCCTTGCGCGCCTGTGTCTGTTGTCTCGAGTACATGCAGCAGAGGCTGTTCTATTGGCTGACAGCGGTTAGTTTGCTAGTGTATCCATGCCGGCGATCCCAACACAAATACCAGGATCCACTCCCCTTCTCGACGCTATGCACACGGCGAATATGCTGCATTGTGTGAATTACAGGCGCTAATTTTGGCTTGTGGAAGTAAACTTTACGTGGTGGCATTTGGAATTACTAGCGTATTTCAGCATATTCAGGTTACATCCCCACCGCATCGCCCAGTACTTTCTCATCCTCGACAACTCCTGCGAATGGCATGTTAATATTGCGATTGTCGAGACGAACATCTGGAGAAATCTCGCACTGCCCTGGCTGGTGTCGTTCATTCACACACTTAGACCGCGTCCACGCGAATCTGCGACTGTCGCCTAATTGCTAGCCAGTAGCGCGTTATAATTAACATATTAGGCTCAGCCTCATAGAGAGCAGATAGCCAGTTCAGATCGCAGGATTGAGAGAACTTAACTTTTTCTTTCTATCGCATAATATATTCTTTGATTGACAGAGACTATCCGGCTGTCTGTCCATATCCTTCCAACAGAATCCTCAGCATTCTCTCTCGACTTGGCGATCCGGCTGCATACCAGGCCAATACGCCGCCCCACGCCGTTGGGCTAAAGCCGATTGATTGACTGTCAATCTCCTCTCGAGCGCATCACGCACAACCTCTCCCAGTTCTTTATCTTGGGAAATATTGTGTCGCAAAGCTCAGCAGTATAGGAGCAACCATTTTCTGGCCTCCCACAAGGGGCCAAAAACACCATCATGTCTCCCAACCGTCTTGAGGAACTTGACAACGTCTTCGACGACCACCCTTCACTAACCGCCTCCCTCGAGGACTTTGAAGACTCTTCTCGCCCATCACCCTTCTTTGGCTTGCCATCGCAGCACTCTGGTTTCCGTTCTGAAGACAACGATGAACACGAGCCAGATACAGACTTAGATTCAAGTGCCGGCGACCCATGGACTCCACCGGGTTACAGGCAGCGGAGATACATTTTAAAACAGCAAAATTTTCCACCAACCGCTGGTAGCGCATGGTATCGGCATCAGCCGTATCTACGGGACAAACCAGATCTAAATCCTCCCTGTGATTGCAGTCCGTTGCGGTCAAGGGAGGTTAGCCCGCAATATGAGGATGCGCTGGAGAAACCGCCTGTGAGCGGGGATGATGATGTTGCTGACTTAACAATGCCTGCAAATATACCATTACCTGTGGGCATAGATTCCCCATTAAAGGGCAGGTCGCCTAGTCCCGCGCCACCGACAAAGCGCGAGGAGAGTCCCTGGAGAAACAAAGAGAATCATGTCAATAGCGACGAGCTTGAACTGGTGCCGCAGGACCTTTCTCCAGATTCGTTCACAAATTGTAATATATATATTTTCCTATTTTCCTTTAAGCAAAATACCCTTTTTCATATCAGTTACATCTATTGTTCATGTACTCAAAATACATGATTTACTTTCCGCATCTTGAAACTAACACCAATTCCCAATTGTAGACATCCGCTTTGCGGTGCGCGCAGAGGTTCAGCATCGAGAACCCTTCCTTGCATTCTTCAATTTCATCACCCAAAAGTTAGATTCAATGGTTAAGAATCGCACGAACACTGCTTTATCCTTAATAATAGGCCTCTTATCCTTCACAATTATCCGCGCCCTCTTTCTGCCACCTATCCCTCTCCCAGTCCCCGACCTCGTCAAACTCTCCGGCTTAGCCCGCTCCTTTGAGCCGTTAATTTACTACTCCGAAAATGGCGTCCAGCAAATCGGCGCACTGCAAGAAACCGGCGTCGCCGTCTGGGACCTAGGAGAATCCGTCCGCGGCACAAACATGACCAGCGCTCCCATCATCGTCCGTCAATTAGACGAACTTTCCGAATCCCTGAAGACATTATCATTAGAACTAACGCGCTTCTTCGCCAACGTGGACGCAGACATCGACTCCATTCTCATCGTCATGGACTGGGCAAAGCGCGAACTAGAAACCCTCTCTTCACAACCTGCGCACTCCCTCCCCTCCATCTTCTTCGACAACCTCCACTCCTTCCTCTCACGCCTCGGTGCACTAGAGACCACCACAACAACCTCACCAGATGGCAATGAAGCGCCACTCCCCTCCCCAACCCGCCTGGGCTCCTTCATCACCAAAGTCTTCGGCACAACCCGCTCGCAACGCACACACCGCACCCTCACACATACCTTCTCCGAATTTCTCGCCGTACAGGAAGAGTCCATAAACAACGAACTGACACATTCGACCGCCCTCTTCGCGCTCTTTGAGGCTATAGACCGACAGTTCCTAAACCTCCAGCGCACCGTCGTGCGCGAATCGGACGCTCAGGAGCGCGCAGAGGGCGAAATGCTCTCGTCGTTGTGGACGCGTGTTCTGGGACCCAACGCCGTCGCGCTACGTAAGTATGAGAAAAACCGCCAGCTGCTGTCATCCGTGCGGCAGCGGACGGTTGCCAACAAGCACCTTCTCATGGACTATCGTGGCAAGCTGTTGACATTAAAGGTGAATCTGGAAACTTTACGGAGGAAATTGGTTAGTCCACTGGTCAGGAGGAATGATTCGGTGACCTTTGGGCTTTTTGGAGGGAGCAGTAGTGGTGAGGGGGAGCTGGCGGGAAGGGGTCTTGCAGGGAGTGCGGCGCAGGGGTCTGTGGAGTTGGTGGTTGAGAGGCAGATTAGGGGCTTAGAGGGGGCTTATGATTATTTGAAAGGGGTGAGAGAGAGGCAGAAGGCGAAGTTGATGGAGATGGTTTACGGGGCTGGAAGCCGGAAGGTGGGGAGTGCGAGTGGGCTGCTAGATGGGATTGCGGGAGTGGGGGGAGGAGCTGGCGGTGGAGCAACTGGGGGTGGAGCAGCTGGGAGCGGAGATGGCTGAAGTTTTAGGTAAATTTTAAGTCATTCTTATTTCATTTGTTTACTTATTTCTTCACAAATCTCTGCTTTTCCTTTTGGATTTGCTTTTTAATCTTCTGCTGCCCTGAATGGGTGTTTCTAGGATTAGGGTTCCTTTTTTTTTTTTTTTTTTTTTGGCTTCTTGATTGGGAGTGCGTTGGGGGGGAGTCTGTCGGTCGGACTGGCTTTTCTTTCATTTCTCCACTTTTCATTTCCTTTTACCCTTCCGGATTGGAGTTGCACTGCTTTGCTGCGTTTCCTTTTCTTCGTCGGTTCTGTATTCTCCACGTATGTTTGTCCCTTTGTTTTGGTCGTATTCTCCACATTGCGCCTACATCAAGGACGAAGAAGTATCCCGTATCACTCGCTAGCAGCATATCTCTCACCCGATATATGTGATATGCTTGGAAATACTTGTACAGCCCATGTATGCATCTACATACATGCATACATACACACATATCTTAGAAACATCATTTCGATCTAGCTATTGGAATAAAGCAAATAAAACATAAAACATAAAGGGAAAACAGATTTACAGCAGTAATCAAAACCATGGATAGTGTATACTACATACCTTGCTCACCATGAGCCAGTTGGCTGTAGTTCTTGGATCACTCTACCACCATACAAAAACTTAAAGCAGAAATCAAAGCTGTCTTAAAATCTCAAAAAACGCCCAACAACACCACCTTACAGAAAGTACCTCACTTATATGCTCTTCTCTACATCCTGCAGCGTACTCGTTATCTATGTCGTCCTCTAGGATCTTGATCCTTTCCTCATGACCTTTCCGTCTGTTCTTCATACTCATCCACCACTTAAGAAATCAAAGAGCTGCAATAACGTTGCACAACCAGGTTGCAGGAAGGATGATGCCATCTGAAAAGAATAAAGCAAAATCGCCGTGCAAAACCTTTGATATTGGCCGTAGTGGATTTTACCGGAACCCCTACGCATGACGAGATTAGCAGCAGATGCCATCTCAACGACCAACGTACAAAAATTCAAATGCTAGGCTAATACCTTCTTCAAATTTTCAAGCCTCTTGTAATGTTCTTGAATTGAGCAGAATCGATGCCATAACTCAACCATTCTTCGGAGAGTGTCTCTCATAGCAATATAAACTAGGTAACTACTCGAGAGAATAAATATTCTTGCACATCTGAAAATTTTGTTAAAATATCATTTCAATGGAATTAGAGCCGATCTTGGAGGTTTCACCGTCCAAAGCAAGCCAAAGCTTGCACCGAGTTAGGGCTTGGGATAACTAGTTATCTATTTCAGGAAATATTCAACGACAATCCCAAGTACTGTGCCCCTGGACCGCACCTTGCAGCACCGAACAACCTCGTATTTCGTTTCGATTCGGAGATATGAAAAGCATTCTAATTGTTGTCAAACTTGGATCAGAGTTAAGAGGTAACTATGGTTACAGGGCTCTTGTATTGTTGGTTCAGATCACTCTGATAGCCAATATTGTGGAATTTGCCTCCATGAAACGGGGATACCCATCCATCTTTTCCTCTTGGATCATTCATTCCGTCTACAAAGAGATCCATGGACGACGCTGAGACTGAGAAAGGGGGGGCAAGATTGAGAGTTTTGCAAGACATAGGAGCGGGGAGTATGTGTAGGTTGGAAACAGGGGAAGCATGGGTGGGTGAGTCCGTGGGTGAACTTTAGGTCGAACCCTAAGGAAACAGAGTGAGAGAAAGGGAGGAGGGGGAACAAGGGGTTTTATAAGACTAGGGGTTTATTAGACGGGTTTTGAATAAAGATGTTTTCATCATGTGGAGGAAGGAAAAAGGAAAATACTTTGAGACTTGCATGATGTGCATTCACTTTTGAAACATTCATTTGGTGAGGAAGAATGCTCCATTGGAGAGAAATCAATGGTGGTTGAGGAGTAATTCTGGATATGGTGGATAGCTCATGGCCGTATAGGATTTTGGTTGTCATAAAAAGAAAGCGAAAACCAACCACAATCGATATTAAATATAACCTCCCCGCTCCCCCCACCCAACCCCCCTCTTTCGTTTCTGTAACCTGACCTCACAAGCCCTGAATGGCAAATATAACAACGAACTAACCGCCAACGCCATCTCAAACCCAATATCCCCCGTAGTCTCCGCAATTGGCCCAATAAACCACGTCTGTGACATACACGGGATCACCAACGCAAACGATAACAACCCCGCCCCCAGCGCTGCAATCCCACTCGGTAGCTGCGACCCCACATCCCAAATCGCATGGTCATACGACGCATAATTGCCATGACGAATCACGAGATGTTCAACCGTCACGATGGCGAAGAAAGCCGCAGACCAATAGGCAATTACACCTATGAAATTCTCGAGAGAGGAAAAGAACCTTGCCGCAGCGCGAATGGAGACTGGGATGACGATGGCAGCGAAGACGACGGCGAATATTGCGCGTGGAATGCGGACGAGGATGGGGAGTAATATTTGAATGTTTAGTGTTATGCTGTAGATAGTTGCGGCAATGTTTCCGAGAGCGGAGAAGGCGAGGAGCACTGTAATGAATTTTCCAAAGCCACCAGCTGGGCTGAGGATGGCGGCGAACATGTGGCCGATGGATCCGCTTTCGTAAGCGGAGGCCCAGCTTGGGGTGTTGGGGACGGCTCCGCCGATGGCCGCACCAAGAATCATTAGGGGTGTGTTAGGGAGGAAGAGGCCCAGGTAGGTATACGTGAAGATGTGTGTGCTAAGCATAGGTTTTGTTGTATTAGATAGCTTTCCTTTTATTGTGTGTTTTAAGGCAGTTTCGTCTCAGAGTTAAAGGGATGGGGGAAACCCACGAAGGCACATCTGGTGATATATACGTGCTGAAATCCGAACTCAGTGCTGCCCAGGGAATCAAGAAACCGGCAACTAACCCGCCAAAGGACAGGATGGGCTTTGCTGTAGGCTCTGGCTGCTTAACCTGGTCCACAAGATTCTTACCCCCGCAGCCGGTGAGGATTATAATGCTCACGAGCGTGGGGATCCAGGCATACCGTTCATACTGGTGCAGCACCTTGTAGCCGAAGAAGGAGATGAGCAGAGCGACCAAGACCACAATGATGATACCAGCATTCACACTGATGGAGCCGGGGTTTACGGCTGCAAGAGTCTGGCCTCCGATTACCGCATCGATCACAACAAATCCAGAGACGGTAGCAAGGTTCAATAGAACAACAATGTAGACACAGTAGAGTCTATAAAATAAAATTTCAGCATGGATTTCCATATAGAGATAAGATGGAGACAATTTGGATGGCGAAAAGGTACTCACCCAAAGCTATACCGCGCTTGAATCATCTGGCGCAGGCCCGTTTTGGGTCCTAAAATAGAAAGATATGCTGGCGGCACTGTACATAGCAGATTGAAAAAGATCACAACCAGACTGGCACTGCGCAGACTCAGGCCTAAACCTAGCGTGCCAACCATGCCTGTAATAACCCTACATAGCTTACATTCAATTCCACATCAGACATGGACATTAAAATGAGCACAGAGGGCGGAACTCAGTTCGATATTAATTCAATCCACCAAAACAGGTCGTACCCCGAGACATCGGACAAAAATTGCCCGTGCCAAACCGAACGGGTATGATAAATATAACATACGGCAAGACATTGCAGCTAACCGTAAACCACAGGAAGAACAAATTAATCGCGCTCATGTCTGTCTGCTCAGCGACGGCGACGGGCGTGATACCGCGCAGTTCCACCCCCCAGGAGGCCAGCCGGTGCCACCAGCGGGACCGGGAGCTAAACAGCGGAAGATCCATGTTATCGATGTCTAATCCCGCCTGTGCGGCGCTTGAGCCCCGCAGCTGTTGGCTACGGGAAGTGGTCTGGGATCTTCGCCCATTCTCGGTGACGGCGGAGGTTGCGATGGCCTTTTCCACGTCCCCGGTGAGATTTGGATCGCCATTGTCATCACCACCACCATCGTTGGCAATTGTGGTAATGAATGGCGGCGGACTTGTTGGTGGCGGTTTCGGTTCCATCTAAGAGTGTGAGATTGGTTTGATGACATGGGTGGGGTTGTAATTGTTTTCCTCTTCCCTTACTTCTTTTTGCTTTCTGTCCCGGTTTGCTACCCCGGGGCGAATTAAATGGTCAATCAAAATGTTAGTTAACTAATAGATTATAAGTTAGTTAAGAGGTTTAACGAAGGAAGAATAAGAATAAAATAAAACCATCATAGCTAGTCATTATCCGCTCTGACTCAGACAGTTGCACTCACCGAGTGGCTCCTTTCCCCTCCTTAGCCCCGTTAACCCAGAGCCGGGAATTTTAATTTACTTTGCTTATATTTTGATTAATTCATGATCGTAATAATGAGTTATTTCCATAATACTGTCTATGCGCATGAATGCGACATATCTTAGAGTCATTAAACTCTCTCCCCTTGTTATCTTCTTAGTCAGTTCAGAGACTTAATATCTCATCGAACAATCTGCTTTAGTTATACTTCCACGGCTACCGGAAGACATGTGGCTGAGCGGGAGACGCTGCGTTACAGGACAACAACCCAAGAATCGTGTCAAGTGGAAGCTTCCCAATGGCGCTGAGAGACAAGCTGTATTATTCCTCTAGCTATTTCTAATATTTCACAACGCAACCCAATTCATCTTAGAAGAGCACAACCGCCGAATCCTTAACAACCTCCGGACCCAACGCTGCCGCAAGCTCGGCAACTATTCCTTTGATCGACTGCGGATTCATAATATCTGACTTGTCCCATGGAACCAGGTCCTACACCACCAAGATACCGTGGTAGTTTATTGAATTAGTTATCTCTGTCCTTTAGAGCTCTGTAAAACATTTAAAACATGGCGGGGGAAAAACAAAAGACGAGGCGGAAGAAAGAAAAGGTACCAGACTAGGGATGACTTACGATCATTTCCACCAAAACCCCATGCACAAAAAGTTGCCAATGATCTAGATCAATCTGCTCCTCTACCTCTTGC